AGAATAGGTGTGTACCACTATAACAATAATATATCTACATATCTCAACATTTATCAGACATGACTTTCAATCAATCCGATTTGCTACATTGGCCACCTGTTTTAAATAACAACTTCGTCAACTCAGTATTACATTTTTCTTCTTCTATGTGCCATATTCTCTACAATTTCTTGTCCTTTGTAGCTTTAATAAATTTTATATTTTTGCTATCTGTCGTTTCCCCGTTCTGTCATCCATTTGCACAAGCTCACTAGGTAGGTTATGCATTGTTTTTCTCTCTCCCTCTTGCATTCAATCTCTTTTGTGAGTAGCATATTTTCCAAACCCCCTTTCCTCATGTGCCCTAGAAATTTTAACTCCCTCTTTCTGATGTCAGTTATATGTGCCCTTTTTTTTACATTTACTCTAAAACTTCATCATTGCTAACGTGTTCAGTTCATGGTTTTCTTAGCATCCTTATGTAGAAACACCTTTCTGTTGCTTCAATCTCTTCTTCATCTGTGAGAAGATTGTCCAACATTTGCTGCCATATAGCCAGATTGCTATTACATTACAGTCCAGTACTCTTTTCTTTATTTCTAACAAAATATGAAGAATATATTTGAGTGTGTTTCTTTGTTGGTGTGCGTGTGTGTACATATATCTATCTATCTATCTATCTATATATATATATATATATATATATATATAATAAAACTGTTGGTATATAATCCAATTGGATCCTAGTAATATAAAATCCACTGATCCACCAATAAAGCTCAATGTATTTCGTCTGACTGAAACATTGAAATGGATAAATTCTATATAAATTTTTCAAGAGCTGTCACAGTTAAATTTCTAATTCCGACACAAACTCAGTCTATATACCGGGGTTGAATAAGACTAAGAAAGTTTTCATTGGTTGAAATAGATCTATCTCCCTCATATGAGGTAATTTTGGATTTTATTGTGTAATATATATATATATATATATATAAGTAGATAGAAAAAGAGAGAAAGAAAGGGAGAGAAAGAGAGGAAGAGAGAGAGAAATTATAACCATTTTATATTATATATTTCATTAAAAATTTAATTTTATCATCATTACATTTGTTATTACAAGCAATATCATAGGAGAAAAATATTAAATTAACTTTGTGACAATGGCATTTTTAAATAAATTTTGCAATGCCAAAAATAAATCAAGGAAAAAAGTCATTGGAAGAAGTTACTGTTAATAATTAACCATAACAAATCATTCAAATTAACTTTCTTCCAGAAGATTTTTAACATTTGTAAGAAGAAAAACTAGAAAAAAATCAGATTAATAAATTCCTTAAATCAAGTAAATTTAAAATGTTACATTATCATATAAGAAATTTTTTACCTATTAGAAATACAGACAAAAAAATAAACTTGATTATTAGTGTATTTCTTTTATGAATGAAAATGTCATAGAGAAGAATATTAAATTTAAGTGAAAAATGTTAACTTTCATGTAACAAGACAAAGATTCCTAAATCACATTTTTTACTGAATTTTGCACAAAAGTTTGTTTATGCAATGAAAGCTTCAAATAATATAGCAAGTTTAAAGAAAATAAAATAAATAAATCTTATACTTACTTCAATTAAATGCAGCAAACTACCACGAGCCTAAACTAAAACTGTGTCACTCCCAGTAGAATGATGAGATTTAAAATAGGCCTCCAGTTCTAGCCCTCAGTTGCACTATGAGTTGGCCTGAAGTTCTTTACTTCAGGCCCACACATGATAAGCAAAAGATATATAATTGCTATAAACATCATATTCAGTGGATGCATATCTTTGAGTAGACACCTCTCTCTCTCTCTCTATATATATATATATATATATATATATATATATATATATATTTTAAAATAAAATAATTGATGTTTTCCGACTTTGGTAGGTTTAGAACCTTCATCTCTATTTTATGTCCTGTAGACTGCATTATGTTTAGATTTCATTTTGACTGTTCCATGCAATGACGCATAAAATAAGTTACCATTTATTTATATACACACACACGTTTTATTAAATTCAACTGAGAATATCTTTAATTTTTCTGTTCAGTCTGGCACAAGGCTATAATTTTGGAAGACTCTGGGTTGAAGGGAGACACTTGTTTACAAAAGGGAAGTACCAATGTAAATGTTCAGAGAATTTTTAAAGAAAGAAACATTGTTCAAACAATTTTCAGGATACAGCGAAGGATTTTTTTTTCTTTTTTTAATCATTTCACCCCAACCAATGTAATAAAGCCACTGAGACACAGTGTTACTGAGTGTGAGAGAATATGACAAAAAACAAATCATTATTAAGAAGAGAGAACAATAAAAGTATTGGAATTAAGAAAATGGAGGATAACGTATTGTATTTAAATTTTTGAAGATCAACATTGATTGGAAAGCAAGAAGCTGTAAAGGAGTTCCACTAGTTGAAACTGTGAGAGAAGAAACTATTAGCATAGAACTTACGGTTACATCTAACCATTTCAACTGTAAAATTGAGGCCTTGCCACCAATCTGGTATTGTACTTAAGTTTATAAAGTCTACATATTATCAAAGAAAGTTCCCCAAGACAATTATCATGAATGTATTTCTACAAAAGCTACAGAGAAGCTACATTACAGTGGTAGGAAAATGACTGAAGCTGAGATGACAGGTAAGGACTAATAATATTGCAGATTCTTCTTTAGATTTTATCAAGGATCTCTAAATCTATAGCAGACACACCAGACCATATGTGGCAGCAATATTCAAAGCAAAGATCAATGATAGGCTTATAAATATAAAAGCAGTGACAGCCCAAGGGTTGCTGGCACCCTGGAAAAGCTAAACTACAGCACCCTTACAAGTATGATTTACAAGTAGGAGAAAGGCTGAAAATGTAGAATAATGAATTTATTACAATATACAACTTAATACAAGCTAAGGAAAACTTTCATTATTCTACCTAAAACATTTTTTCTAGCCTTTAGATCTGCAAATATTTTCATGACACTTTCTACACCTTTTTGACAAGATCATCTTCTATTGACAAAATAGCCAAAGATTTTAATCGGTCTTGAGTCATGGACAAACACAAGTATATTTTTATGAGCATTATTTTTGGAAGATTCCAAACATATGACATGGCGGCATGATGGTGCTCGCAGCTTTCATGGTGCCCTAGGCGACTGCCTGAGTTGCCAGTACCTTGAGCCAGCCAGATAAATTTAGGCAAGAAAAATTGTCTAGCATGACACAGTTAACCAACATTCCTAGCAGACTTACCAATTAATTCTATATAATCTTTCCACTTCATATCAGCAAAAAATGTTAACCCAAGAAGGCGTGACAATTCACTAAAAAAGAGAAAATTAAATTGAAAAGACATTTGTCATTCTTTATGTCACATTCTAGTCAGTAAAATAGAAATCTCTTACCAATTTTTTTTTATTTTTTTTCACTTTCTTCAACTGTAAGCATGCTGTTTCCGAAAGAAGAATTTTAAAAAAAGTTCTCATGGAAATTTCATATATATTTTACATTTCATATGAATTTTTATGTCCTGAATAATTTTTAACAATTTGTGTTTTTATTCTATTAAATTTTAATAATGTATTCCATCTCCATGACACTTTCTTTTAACAATTATTGCATAATAAAATGCAGAGTTTAAGTACTTTTTTCTTCTTCTGCATTTAAAAGAAAGGTTAGCATATAATGACGTAGAGATTATCTCCCTTACATTTGTCATACTTCGCCATAATTGAATACAGAATAATACGTTCATTTGTAAGGCTTAAATTACGATGGTCGGCCTGCTCTTCTCGCGAAGTTGAATCAAAATAGCAGAACAGTATTAGGTAGGAATAGATTGTTATAAGAGAAAAAAACAGAAGAAAGTCGATTTTTTGTGTTTTAATCCGTTTCTCCAGGCAGTTTCTAAATGTTAAGTGATGTATTCAAGCACAATGATTAATTCGAAATAAAATAAAAAAAGAAAATGAATTCCAAGATTTACACAAGACATAACAAATAACATAAAATGTCATAAGCACAAATTTCTCTCCATTTGATATTTATTGCTCAGAGCTATCATGTAATTTAATGTATAAACTTAAACGTTTACTTTTATCTATGAAAAATAAATACTTCACTTGGTGTATGGATCAGTGACAACAAATTTAGTAATAGGAAGAAAGGAAGTTGTACATAGAATATGTTGTGCTAGTGGGTAGTTTCACACAACAAGACCCAAACATTAACCTAAAAACTTGAGACATGTTCTTAAATAGCCTCATAAGATCGAGCAATCACCGAGTGAGCTTTGGGGAGACTTAAGGAAGCTTCTGTGAGCCACTTCTCCCAAATGTGCATGAATTTGACTACTTAAAAAATAAAGTGATTCCAAAATTTTCGCATTACTGTGATTTGTAAATTGCCTGTAGAAAATGTATTAATGATTTATAAGCCAATGATCGTTTGGCATTGTACATGTCATTTTGTGTTTGTATGTATATGTTTGTGCGTAAGTAGGTTCGCACAATGTTATGCATGGGGCCAGACTTGGTTCTAAAATTTCTCAGATCAATGGTTAAAAACAGCTTTGAGGAAACAAAGCCTGTAGGTGTTTGCAAGGAACATCCTTCTTCAAACATTGTGGACTGGCGCTACACAATCACAAGCAAATAAGATACCATATCATTTGCAAACTTCCAAAAGTTGCAACTACTAAAATGGATAGCTTATGTCACTCAAAAGGGAAATAATGACATAAGGACTAGGTTGACATTCCACACAACTTTAAACAAAAGGTTAGGAAGGAAACTACCATCAATATTGCAAAGAGCAATAACAGACAACTTGAGAAACCTATTTTCTTAAAAAGTTGTTTTAAGAGAAAGATTTTATAAATTTTAGTCAAAAGTAGCACTGGCAATTCAGTCATTAAAAGAATAAATGGTTCCTTGTATGGAAATAGCTAATATTACCATTACCTTTATTTCCCAGTCAGCTCATATTCATTCTATTCTATTTATCTATCTATCTATCTATCTATCTATCTATCTATCATGCTGTCTATCTATCTATCTATCTATCTATCTATCTATCTATCTATCATGCTGTCTATCTATCTATCTATCTATCTATCTATCATGCTGTCTATCTATCTATCTATCACGCTATCTATCTATCTATCTATCTATATCTAGATTGGTTGATTCACCTTAATCTGTTAATTTTATTTTGTAAATGCTAAACAAAAATATTAAAAAATGGAAAATTTAACTTGAAACAAAGAATACTGAACCGCTGTACAATATCAACCCTCCTAAGAGACTTGAAAAAGCAAAGACATTGTTCTACAGAAGGATGCTGAGAATGAAACAAGTCAGCAATGAGGATGTTTCAAAGAAAATGGACATTTGCATTTAGAATCAGAATGAAACAGCTGAAATTTCTGACACATAATGAAGGCTTGGAGAATTTGACACTCACAGGACCTGGGGTGAAAAACATCCTGCATGTATGAACAATTTTAACCTCTTGAAGTTAAGGGTCAGTCATTATCTATCCTCATAATCTTCACTTTTTACTTCATCTAATTATATTCAGTTAACTTGAGTGGCTCTTGAGGCTTGTATTGGTTCAACTTTAGTTAAAAAAAAAAAGTGGGGGGTGCTCTGGAAAACATCAAGTAGCCTACCTAACAAGCTTGTGTGAGAGGGAAAAAAGGGAACAGACATTGAGTTATGAAGGATATTTCACATAAACGAAGATATTTATTCATCTCGGTTCATTCATGTCTATTCATCTAATTATATAGATATATTTTTATATTTATTTCATTGCTCTATCAAACAAAAGGTTATGAAGAAAGATCTCATCCTTTCCAAATATGTCAAGGTTACCTAGCGTTCCCAAGAGTTCTTTCTGGAATACTTTATCAAACACTTTCGGATAATCTATAAAACACAGGCATACCTCTCTTGACATTTGCATTTCTCTTTGTGATATCATTGTGAGCATAAAAATTTGCGTTCTTTGTTCTGGTGTCTTTAACAAACACGCACTTTTCTTGTCCTATCTCTGGCCCGATTCTGCTACATACTCTATTCAGAAGAATTCATATGATAACCATCTGCGTAAATACACACTTTTACTCCATCTTATTAGTGTTGATTTTTATCAAAACCTTTGAAGAGAAAATAACGTTATCAAGATGTTGACATTCTACACTACATCAAATAAAAGTTTAGGAAGTAGCAGTTGATGATTAATATTTGCATTTTAATCGTTATAATGAGGACATCATGACGATGCAAATAATAATAATAATCACGTATCTTTCGGTTCATGACTGACCAGGCAGAAGATTTTCCTGCAGTAGGTTGCCATTTCTTTCTGTGGTAGACTTGTTGCCAACCAAGTCTATAGGACTCAGTCTGTCCTGCTATTCAACCCATATCTGGGGGATTACAGATGGATTTATGCATTTCCCAAGGATGTTTGTAAGAAACCCAACAGGAATTTGAACTTGTCTCTCTGAGTTCTCGCTCCCAGCCGCTATCCCTTACACCACACTACACATTACTAGTTTTACTATATCGGTGAGAACATTGTTATTATTAGAAATGAAAATAAAATATAAAATAATAATAATGAAAATTATAAATAAAATAGAATAAAATAAAATAAAATTTTAAACCATGTTTAAAATAGATAAAAAAAAAAAAAATTAAATTACTCCCAGCATGCAACAGGTACTGTTCCAACTGGAAATATGGATATCCCACCAAGAAACATGAGATTCAACCTTTGTTTGTTTTATTTATAATTTTCATTATTATTAATATTTTATATTTTATTTTCATTTATAAGAACAATGTTCCCATATATCTTATTATTGTAGCTTTTTATCACAACCTTCTGGGTGAATACACTGATCATTATGAGGCTTATGAACATATCATGTGAAAACATTGGTTCCCAAACAGTTACTGAAGTAAAGCAATGTATGCAGCATAAATATAAGTATTTTCAGTGAACACTCAATCTCTAACAGCTCTAGCAGAGTCAAATTTTTTATAAATTTATCGAATAAATCCTAGCTGTGATAACATCAGTTACATAAACAATCATCATTTAGAACTATGATGTTACTAATCTATATTGATATTATTTTGGGGATTATTATAATAATAGGAAAAATGGTAGGGGGTGACCGTTGATGAGTAATATTCTTATTTTAATCATTATAATGAAGCCATCATGATAATGCAAATAATAATAATCATAATGATGCTTCAGAGATTGCAATTATTTATTTATTTTTATATATATATATATATATATATATATATATATATATATATATATATATTTCTGCTTTAATCTAGAGTGACCCTGAAGTGCAGATTAGTGTAACTTAATGGAAATTGATATTCCACAGTAATCACAGATTTTAAAATTGCCAAACAAACCAACCAATAATTTCAAAAATAGAATTTAAAAAAACCCCAAAAAAACAGGTTTCTGACATGCAGCGCTTCGATCAAATAATCCTATATTTCTGTGATTGCTCCCACTCAAAAAAAAAAAAATTCAATTAAAATCAAAATATAATTTTCTAATCATTTTTTTTAAGGTCATAGCAATAAACAAATTATTTAAAATGAAGATCCATAATTTGAGATGTTTGCTTGCTTGCTTTGTCCCATGAGATTATCCGTATGTTGTGTTGGGTCTTTTTTTTTTTTTTTTTTTTTTGCAGGGGATAGAGAGCACCTATCTTCTCTCCAATCCAATTAATCTCAGGAAAGTTCCTTTCTTCTTTTCTGTGTCAGGCCACAGGAAATCATGACTCTCTACAATTTCGTATCTTCTGTATCTCTTAGCAATATTTGTCATTTTTATTATCTCACCCAGTCTGTGAACTGGCATCTATTTATACAAGTCCCCTCTGCCCTCTCTATCTCCTGTGAGTGTCAAATTCTTCATGCCTGCTTTCCTCATTATATGTCCAAGAAATTTTGACTGTCACATTCTGATTCTAGGTATAAATGCACTTTTTGTTTCCATTTTCATTAAAACAATGAAAAAGATGACATCAGAATCTGAAAACACAAAGGAATCACAAAAAGGGGACAAATTATTAAGAAACAAGAAAATTTTGGCAATTTTTAACTGTTATACTTTGACGACTTTTGTTTTGAAATCTTTGACAACATTCTCTGCTCATCCGTCGCCCACCGCACCTGCTTTGACATCCAATATCATCTGTATTTGCATGTACACCTGACTTTGCTATGCTCGCAAATTTGTCTTCTTGACCATAATTGCATTCAACAAAAATTAATAACGGCAGTTGTTTTTAAAGACACTAGTTGGGAGTTAACAACAATATGATTTCTCACTTAACCATAGGATCCTTCCTTCAGCTTCAACAAGTGGCCTGTTACCTTACTAACTTCTGACAATGGAAAAGAATCCTTATATTCACTGTCCATCTCTTTGGTCAGTGCTGATTCCTCATTCCCTGGCCACTGGGCAGCTACCAATTCCCATGGTCACCTACCGACTTCTCTCATTGCTAGACCTCTTTTTTTTTCCCGACATCCTGCCTCTCTTTGCTCATATGGATAATGGCTGGTGTTATCTACAGGGTGTCAATAAAGTCTGTGCGCAATTTAAAATACTTAAGTATTTTAAATTGCACACAGTCTTTATGGACACCCTATATTAGTATTTGTCTTATATTGATAGTTGTACATTGGTCCTTCATGATATGCTGGTAGATATGTGCAGTTTATACACAATTTTGAGTATAATGCTCAAAACCTTCTCTGAAAATTGAAAAATTACGATAAATATTTAAATATATACACTGAACTCTCCTGTCATTTTTTCAATGTATCGGTGTCAAGCAACTCAGTTCCTAGGAATCAACAGCCAAGCAGCTGAACATATGATTTGATTATAGTGGTGAAGGCATTTTACAGAACCAACCACACTTTTTGAAGAGCCAACTACAGAGAACTGGTGTACCATGTGCCACGAGGTCCACAAACAAGCATCTACAGGTTTTGAATTCAGAGTTGTCCTTCTCTAGGCCAGTTGCCATCCAAGGCTATAGAACCCAGTCTGTCTTGCTATTTACCGATAGCTGGGGGGAGAAGAGGATTTATACATTTCTCAGGGGTATTAGTACATAAGTGAATGTGATTGATTCGAATGTAATTCAAACTCAGCTCTACAATTCCTCAATCTGAGCCATTATCCATTACTTCACTGTGCCTCTTTATATATTGCCTTCTGCATATTTTTCTTTAATAAGATTTCTTGAATATTCAGGCCAGTAGGCAATAATAAATATACTGTTTAAAAATAAAAACAGACTCTAGTCAAATACAGGTATCCACTAAAAATAACATTTAAGTGATAAAAACTTGTCAGATTAATAAATAAAATATCCATTACTTTTTCAGAAATTGCCTTGTTTAAGTTTTGAATACATAACTGAGCAGGCATGAAATTCCAAGAATATGTGACAAGATGGATTTCGCTTAAAGGCACTATTCAACATTACTTGTTCGGCAATGTCCTTCGAAGCTTAGTCAGTATAACTACATTGTATCTAACAATGGTTTCTCCTACCAAGGGGGATGCAGGTTCAAATTTTGCTGGAGGGCGCATATTTTTATTAAATAAGATTTCTCAAATCCTGGTAGATGATAATATACTGTTTAAAAATAAAAACGGTGCAACTACTGAAAAATGGGTAGCCACTAAAAATAATGATTAAATAAGACACACACACACATATATATATATATATATATATATATATATATATAACAAGCTTGATTAAAGAGAACTGACAATGTCTATTTAATTTTTTTATATTTTTTCCAATTTTCGGATAAGATGTTGAGTATTGGACTCAAAGTTATGGATAAACTGTTTGAAGTTCATATTTTGTTATTTTAGCAAAAAACAACATGGTATCTGTGTGGTAATCAGAATTCCTTTGACTGTAAAAGTCAAAAGTACTTGAACGAAAATAACAAAATATGAACTTCACACACTTTATCCACAACTATGAGTGCAATATTCAACACCTTATCTGTGAATTGACAAAATATTTTTAAAAAATAGGCAGACCTCATCAGTTCTTTATAATAAAATTTGTTTTGATGAATACTTGCTGCCTAAATGAACCTTTATATATGAGAGAGAGGGAAGGCGATAGATGTAGAGATTATGGTTGCCTTAATTCCAGATTACTGACCTTTCATTTCTCCCTTGTTTTCTCATCTTGAGTGTGATGTCAAACTACATCCAGCAGCAAGGCCTCTCATTAGGAGGTTTTGAGGAGCATGAAACAATTGCTGTTGTTCCCAGATTCATCCTGACTCGAGATGGTAACAATTCTTAGGGACCCAGCTATGGGTAAATAGTGAACCCCCAAACCGGGATCAAAGCATGAAAATATAAAAATACATTAGAAAAATTACCAGAAATACATTTTCATAGTAAAAAAAAATTACCAGCAATTTTGGGCAACAAAAAAAAAAACATAGCAAAGTTCAAAAGAAAATAAAATTTCAACATTAAATGACCCATAAGGAGTTGATATGCCAATAAACAAACAAACCAAACCATCCCTTGTTTTCAATACACAGATTGTTTGAATAAAATTTTAGATAAAACATTGCCAAATTCAGAAAAAAAAAATCCACCTTTTAAATTCTCTGCTGATTCATCTTCATTCAGAACACTGGAAACTTTTCTTTGCATTCATACCAGTATTAAATAAGTGCGGGCTATTACAAATTTTTCTGTGAGGTAAGGTTAGAATCTACCCTTTCTATTCCCTATGCTCTGCACTGAATATTATCCATAAATAATCTATGAGAAAACTGAGCAAAATTAAATTACCAACTTTTTAAATTAATAAAGTATTCATTATATCTGTCTGTCTGCTGAACGTGCTGTGGAAATTTTGGCAGTTCCTTATTTCTGATATGTTTCTTGTACTTGCTTTGTTGTTGTCTATATAATCATTAGGGTGAAGGAAAGTTTATTTAATAAATCTTCTGCACTATACAACTTTTACAAACTGCTTTCCCAACCATTGCAATCTTTACTTGTTCAAGTCTAGGGTTGACTGTTATCCTTTCCACATATTTTTTTTTAAATCAATTCACCCAAAACAAGGGGATAATGCCACTAAGATGCATGGGGCTACTGGGAGTGAAAAGGAATGAGAAGACTTCAGAAGGAATTGGAAACTCAATCCTAATCAGGAATAGACTTCTACTACTGTTCTAAAGATTGGGAAGGATCATGAACCAGACAATAGTCAAACACCTATTGAGAAAAAATAAATAATTGAATAGTAAATAAAATAACAGTTTAGGCAGAGATGTTAGAAGTATAGATTTGAACTAAACTTTAGAAGGAACAGCAGTGTTTCTCCATTTCCCAACTCTTCCACCCCTGTTCTGCCATCCATTAACACAAGTTTATCAATCAAGTGACTCACTGCTTTCCCTTATCTCATTTGCCCTTAATGTGGCCCAATGTGGGTTAAGTTTTCCAAGCCCTCCTTTCTCATTATGTCTCCAAGGAATTTCAGATGTCTTTTTCTGTTTCGAAGAAGTAATTTTTCTGTTGCTATTTCCTTTAAGACTTCCTTGTTGTGGAATCCTCACTATCCTTCTGTAGAACAACATTGCTGCTGCCTCTAGATTTCTCACCATCTGAGGGAAGATTGTCCAGCATTCACTGCTATATAAAAGGATGTATGTCACACAGAAATGAACAAGCTTGGTTCTTGTCTCTAAGCCCCCAGCTCCAGTATTATGCTTCTGACTCGAAGTGTTCTGATATTTTGGTTCTTGTGCAACAATTTCATTTAGTAAACCTCTACCTTGAGTGGCTCTTCTGCCTTGTTTTAGGTGAAAGATAGTTAAAACAACAGAAAAAAACAACTGAATTAAATTTCTTACAATAGCGGAAGCATTGTGATCACATCAAAGATGAGGATATTATTCTGAATGTAACGTAATCACAATCCAACTTTTGAAAATTTTAGACACTTGTGGGAAGCCTGGGGAATGCTCTGACTTTGTCAGAAAAAAAAAAGATATATATATATCAATCCAATAATAATAGGAAACACAAAGATAGTCATATTGGTCTAAATAATTCTTGTTTTATTATACAGTGATAAATTTTCTAAAGAAGAATTATTTCTGGAATCCAAAAGATAAAACCAAATCGCAAATGAATTTGGTTGCTTTTTTTTAAAAAATAAAAAATAAATGAACTCATTAAAAAAATAAATTCCTCAAACAAATACATGATTGAAATACTGCAATATTCGTCCCACTGAATAAAATATTTAAACAAAATATAAAATTTGATTGCAGCTTCAACTATTTTATTTTTTTTACTTTTTTAAATGTCAAGGAAAATAAATTAATTTTATTCACTTTGAATTTTTAAAAGAAAATTCTGGTGACATTTGCATTCAAGGTCAAAATTTAAATTTAGTTTTCCAGGAACTTGTAAGATAAGATGTTTATAGAATCTGTAATATCATTGACAGGATTTATTAAACAAACATTTTAGAATTTTCATTCCTTCTATTGCTTATTTCTGTGGTACCCAAACGGTGTCAAACACCTGATAGGTGCAGCAAAAGAGGATAGCAGATGAGGTGGAATTCAATCAAAGATTTAGAAACTGTTGTTAAAAATTCATGTGCCAAAAGTAAATATGATTTCAAAAGTTAAAATATTATTATGGATTACTTGTAATTGCATGTATGACTCCCAGTATAAAGAGTTATAATTATTGATTGATTTTATCATTGTGATATTTTTGCATTATCTCAAGTGTTAAGAATATAGTAACTAGGGTCTGCAAATTGTAGGAGAGTGTTATCAATGATAATGTTCTGACTTCAAATCTGCAGTTATCTCCCTTTAACTTTCTCTCTCTCTCTCTCTCTCTCTCTCTCTCTGTGGATCTTCTTTGATGTAAGGCTGCATGCTCCTGAAAATGTTGCCCAGAGAAAAAAAAAAAGAAAAAATTAGGGACCACTGGCTTACATATATAAGAAAATGCTAAAAAACATATATACAAAAATATTATATTTCTGTATATGGCTAACATATATTATTTCTGTATATGGTTTATATAAGCAAATGCTAAAAAAACATACAGAATATTTTATTTCTGTATATGTTTTTTTTTAGCATTTGCTTATTATATATGTAAGCCAGTGGTCCCCAATCATTTTACTATAGAAATGCATTACAAGTTTTTACTCTTGTTCACCTGATACAAGAGGGTTACTAAAAGAGTTTAGTGTGTCAGTGGTAAGTAAGAGGTAAGGGGCACAGTTATGGTAGGATAGTCAAAATAATAAGGTGAACAGTGAGTTCTCAGAAATCCGTCATTTTATATTAAGCCCAGAAACATCAGTAATGTCGCTATGCATGACACAAATCATTTGCATTAAAACATTCTAGGCACAGCTCAGCCTACCACCGCAACTATATTTTTTGCAAGCGGATGTTCTTGGGTTTGTGGCGGCCATCTTCTCCTGTATACACAGCAAACCAAGCTTTGTCTTTTTGATCAACAGGGATGGGCAGCCACATTAAATGTAGCCAGAAGTTCATCCTGCCTTTAACTTCCCCTACAAGACACTATCAGGCAGAAGTAAAATGTTGACTAGACACACACACACACATTATCACCAAAATCCCACAAGACTAACTAGAAATATGAGACACAAATATTTATAAATTTTAATATTTCAGGAATTATGCACATGGATACTAACAGACTGACATAAAATACCCACAAGAATCCAGATGCACACAAGCATACTGTAGTGAACCATTCTCGTTTCCTATGTATTCTATTGGTGAGATGTAAGTTCCATTCTAGCAGCTTCTTCTGCTAGTTGGTGGAACCAACGTCTAAAAGTATGCTTCCAGAATCATTACAATCTTAACCTGTTCAAGTCTAGCATTAACGATTCTTTACATATCCTTTTAAACTGTTTCCTTTACTTGTATACTGTAACGCTCTACTTTGAGTGGCTCCTGGGCCTTGTACAGGGTGAACATTATCATCAAAAAGAAATTTACAAAAACAACACAACTACCAATATAAATGAATTCTTCTTTTTTGATATAGTATATCTCTTCAGGACGTGGGCGATCATGGCTCTCCACAACTTTCCATTCTTTGTAGTTGTCAGTATTTATTATTTCCTTGCTATCCCTCCGGGTCCCTGTTCTGCCATCCATTTACCCAAGATCATTAGGTAGTTTACTCACTGCTTTCCTCTGCCTCTTTTGCCTTCGATATGTCCTGTGTGTGTCAAGTTCTCCAAGTCTTCTTTCCTCATGTGTTCCAGAAATGTCAGCTATCACTTTGTTTCCATTTATCTTAAACCCTCTTTGTTATTCACATATTCCATCCATCATATTCTCAGCATCTTTCTTTAGAACCACGTCTCTGTTGCCTCAAGCCTGTGAGAAAATTGTCTCGCATTCACTGCCATATAGGCAGATCTATTTTACATAGCATTACAGAACTCTTCCTTTGTTTCTAATGAAATTTTCTTGTTTCATAATACTTTGTTTAGCTTTAGGAAGGCATCTTTTGCTATTCCAAAAAGACTGTCCTTCCTGCTAACAACCACACATTCTGACCATATATTCTTTCTTTCCTTTTTACCTATTTATGGCTTTACTTATAAGGAGTTCTTGCAGTTTATTTTCTGAGTCTCTGACATGAAGTCAGCTGCATATTGTTTGGAGTAAAGCTGTTCAAGTTTTTTATCATTGTGATATTTTTGCATTATATCAAGTAACTAGTGTCTGCAAATTGGAGGAGATAGTTATCAATGATAATGTTCTTTACTTTATAAAAGATTGTGCCCACCAACAATAAATTGGCTTATGGCTATATCATGTTGAAACACTAGTTGCTGTATGATCACTTAAGTTAACTTATGTCTAACCTAGTCAGTACCAAAATGGGTGACCACTTAAGAATACTAGGTGCTGTAAACTCGGATATATCCAACTGATTACTTGCATTATTTACATTATTCAGACTGTTATCCTCATCTTCATTGCCATATTCACAGTGTTTCGGCCATAGTACACTCTGGCCTTCTTCAGGTGATTGGAATTCTGAATCAAACCCCTTATTTCATCCACCAAGGTAGATTGTTCTAGTTCCACGTGCCATGTCTCAGTTATTTCCCTTTAACTCAACTCTCCAAGTTTTGGTTCACCACTGCTGTGGCCTGGTCAAAGGACACATTAAAAAGTATTGGTTGGATCCAGTGACTTGACCAAAAGAGCTGTGAGTTCAGTACCAGGCACACCGAGATCCGAAGAGGTATTGGGATGCCCAAAGATGCATTCCAAAAGCTAAGCAGAGTATTAAGAGACAGAAAAATTTTGTTGGAAACAAAGAAAAGAGTATTGGACTGTTACATGATATCTGACCTCCTGTATAGCAGTGAATGCTGGACAAGCTCCTGAAGGATATGGCAAAGACTTGAAGCAGCAGAAAAGTTGTTCTACAGAAAGATGCTGAGGATGCCATGGGCCAAGCATTGAGTGACAAGGTTTTGGAGAGAATAGAATCAAATTTATACTTGAAATTTCTGGGGCACATAATGAGGAAGGAGGGTTTGGAAAACCTGATACTCACAGGACAGATTGAGGGAAAGAGGAAAGCAGCATGTATCGTACTTGATGGGCTTGAGCAGATAGATGGCAGAACAGGGTTTGGGAGAAATAACTAAAAAGCAAAAGGTATTAAGAGCTACAAGGAAGAGGAAAATGTGGAGGGCCATGATCGCCTAGTCCAGAAGGGATATGGCACATAAAAGAAGAGTGAGATTTTAACCAGCTTTACTCCAAGTTTATCCAATCTCGGGATATAATCTAGCATATTAATAAATGTTTATCTGAATTTTTGAGTAAGTGTTGTTACTATTAAATACTGATTCTTTTTGAACCTATCTAAAAGTTTGTCATGTTTTTCTTTCTTTTTTTTTTACAGTTGAACACTGTGAAGATGACTTGGACTGCCGTAGCGGTCGTGTTTGCAAGAATTTCACATGTGAGTGTGCTGACGAGGACTACTGCCTGGGTTTGAACAAACCAGTGTGCGGATCAGATGGTATCCTCTACCCAAGTCATTGTGAACTGCATCGTGTTGCCTGTACCATTGAGAAACACATTAAGGTTGATACTAAAGGAGTTTGCCTTCAAAAAATCTCAAGTAAGTTTTTCAAAGCAATTCTTAAATGATATATTTTTAACAAAAGGAGAAAAATGTATAAGTGTGTAAAGATGTTCACTTTCATGACATACTTTACATGATTTCAACTGAGACTTCAGTGATTTGAAGCATTTTTAATAAATTCTTTCATCCTGGGCATGATGATAGACTACATCCGGCAACAAGGCCTCTGATCAGGATGTTTTGAGGAGTTTGGAACCACTTCTTAATTGCTGTTGATACCAGGTCCACCCTGACCAGAAGAGATAACATCTGTTAGGGTCCCAGCTATGAGCAAATAGTTAACCCCCAAACTGAGGACAAAACACTATGAAAGTATAAAAATAGTAAAAATGCCAACAATACATTTTTTAAATTTTTACCAGCAGTACAGTTAAAAAATGTTATCAACAATACATTTCACTCTCGACAAAATCACTCTTTACAAAAATATGTCAGTGGAATGTGATCTACAAATTGATTTCTTACAAATAATACCTATTCTATTCATATGAATCTATTCTAAAAATCTTGTTGGCTTAAAATAAATGGTCTAACCTAGGGAAGGTTACTGAATAGAATAATCAAATGAAGGTTGGTAATGAACAATAATACATAGGACAAGAACAACACAAATAAGATTCGCAAGTAGTGCATAGAAGTAGTAGCCAACTGCTAGAAGTGAGTCAAATAAATTCCACAATGAATCTCCAACTCTAGGATATCTACCAACTGCCCTACGTGATCAGATGTGGCACAAGGACAAATTTAATGTGGGGTATCCGAGTCTGTAGGCTCAGCCAAAAACTCATTGGAGACCCCGTATAAAACTGGGTCGGGTTGCTGTTTCCTAAGATGAGACTCTACCCTTCATCTTAGGATCCTCTCTGCCGGTGGCATAGAGTTTAACCAGCACAGATGAAGACAATTCAAGTGTTTATGATCATTTTTTCATGCAAAAAATAGGGGTCACACTATACAAGTATTTCTTTTTTTTTTCAAAGAGGTTAAAAGTCATGCATTTTTTATGATTGTTTTCACCATACACAGGGAATTTTTTTTTTTTTTTTTTTTGGAGGGGTTCAAATTCACACAAAAATATATCAGTGGTAGGTGAAGTCAGTTTATATACAGTGTAACCCGGATATAAGAGAGTTGTCGGGACCAAAGAAGTCTTT